GGCTGTTGTTTGATATACGATTCATGAAAAGTAATATTTAACGTTCCTGGCGGAGTCGAAAACATTGGTGCTCATAATGTGGTGACTGCACCATGTGATGTGAGAGCTCCGATCTATACTGGCAGCCCGTACTGCGTAGAGAACTTTGCAAAGTCCTGAAAAGGACCAAGTTCAAGAATGCCCTTCCGCAGATTCAGCCGCGGTTCGCCCACATCTCTTTTCGTTATGGTGCACTATGAAAGCTGATGGTACATGTTATGGGGGAACTGTGAAAATAAAATACGTTTTGGAAGGACACAACGACCTGTCGCAAATAGAATGCTTTACCGCCAGTTTTCCTTCAGGGTAAATACATTCCTGGAATGGGAGAAAAGGAAACTTGGGGCATAGGGAGAGCAAAATATAATTATCATTAGATTTCGAGCTAACACAGTCTGTTCTTCGGGTATATGAAAGGGAAAGCGTGAAACAAATGCATTTTTACATAATATTAACCTTTCTTTTTATAAGCGGGATTTGTTATTGAACATATTACAATGCAAACACTGATATCTCTCATCTCTAGCCTACATGATACAACATAGAGTGAGGGGGGGGTGAGGAGAGGTGAGGGGAGGAGAGAGAGAACCAGTAAGTCATTAAGAGAGAGAGGGAAAAGGATGGAGAGAGAGAGAGAGAGAGAGATGGGTTTTACTCTTTCTTTGTCTTACAACTGTGGAACAATATTGTCAGCCTTGTATTTTTGGTCATTCTTGATTAAAAGACATTCAATTTGTGTTATTTTAAAATATTTTTTTAAAAAGAGATACTGAATTAAGTTAACGTCACATATTTTTTTGGGGTCTTAGCTGGGATGTGATAGGCTCAAATACTATATCGTTTTTAATGTTATTATATTGTCTCTTTATTCCGCTGATATAATTATGCATTGCCTTTTTTAAGGAGTTCCTGAGTTTTATAAAGCTTTGTGTATATCATTATGTACTAGGTTTCTGTGGTTACATCACAATGTAATATTTTCCGATTCAATAAGACAACGAGTAGCAGTTTTGTGGGCTGTCTTACGATCGTTAATGATTTGGCGCTGGCAGTTGTCTTCCTCATTAGAATTAAAGATTGAACAGTTTGAGATCGTTTTCATATCATCTTAATTTTTTTTTTTTAAGCTCAGAGTTTATGTTGTGTGTCAAACTAATTAATTTATATGTAATTGATTTTTACCTTTTTTTCATCATATTAATAACATATGTGAGCGTCAGTGGCTCAAATTCGATTCAAAATTCATGTTTACGTTCCTTTCAGAGCTTTCAGATAACAATCTAATCAATTTTTAGAAAATTACTTCGTGTTCAAAATGTATTTATTGGTGTATTCCACGAACTTCTCTAGAGAACAATAATATATTCAAATTATTTTTTAAAATTGGTCTCTCTCTTCCTTTATTTTTTGACAAATCGTAACTTAAGAATATTTACCTTTTGGTCTGTTTCAGCAATTGCAACACGACAATCTGGTGAACTTGATAGAGACGTTTCGACGGCGGAAACGTTTGTACCTTGTGTTTGAGTTTGTGGACCACACTGTGTTGGACGAATTGGAAAAGTGTCCAAACGGCCTGGACGAAAACACATGTCGTAAAATTCTTTGGCAGGTGCTCAAGGGGACAGAATTCTGTCATTCACACAATGTAAGGAACTCATCTACTCGTTTCTCAATAATGAATGTACTAGAAACTAATACAGACCTGTATAAGTTTATTTTAATCTCTGATTTTCCAGTTTTCATAACAAAAATATACCAATTTTTATATACATACAAAATGTATTGTGTTTCCCCATGCAATATTTTTCAAATGAGAAAGCTGGCTATAGAACTGGGACGTGTGTTATAATTACGTGTAAAATGATACTGTCAGTGTTGGATATTGATGGCTTAGGGGCCCTGGTCTGAAATTCCCAATAGGCCTCTGAGTTGGAGACAATGGGTTGTTCTGTCTGCCGTGGAAAAAAGAATAATCTCTATGTTTTTTCAAATAGTTGCCTGTGAATTTTTAGTATTGTTCCAGCAGAGGATTTAGGCCTATAGGCTGCTGCTCTGGTAATCTTCACCATCTAATGTTTGGGAGAGATTCTAATGCTGTTATTTTCCTGATAGGAATAATGGCAGCTTTTGTGTTGTGACCTCTATTTTAATGTAAACAGCTCGCACTGTGTCCATCCAGACATATCCGTAAACTGCTTTTTTTGTTTGTTCCGTACTTCGAAAATTTATTCCTGGCCAAGCTTTGACCTATTTATATCTGGCCCTAAAGCTTTGACTACTTTTCATCCATCACAATGCTTAGAAAAACAAAATTTTAATGTAAATGTGAAGTACTTCTGAAGAGTGCAATGACCTTTAGAATTATTTTTTTCTTTTCTTACTAGAAATAATATTTTAACTGAACATATTCTTCTGTTTGGCATAGATTTCAAGATGAGCCTATCACTCCATTGCTTATTCCTTTTTTTTCCCCCAGATCATTCACAGAGATATCAAGCCTGAGAATATACTAGTAAGCAAAAGTGGTATCGTAAAGATCTGTGACTTTGGGTTTGCTCGTACGTTAGCTCAACCAGGGGAGGCGTACACAGACTATGTGGCCACACGATGGTACCGTGCACCTGAACTTCTAGTCGGGGACACCAAATATGGCAGGTAATTGAGGATTATTTGCCTTTTGACTCATTTAAAGCATGCCTGTTTGTATGTGAGTGTATGCCAGTATATGGGGGATGGTGATGGGAGGGGGAAAGGTAAGGATTTTGTTGCTATCCGTTTACGTCATGCTTATAGTTGGCTGTATTTAGGGAAAACAAGTTCTCTGTGTACTATGTGATAAAACCTTTATCGAAATATTTTTAGCTAAATTTCCCTTTTCTCATAAATGAAAAGCTGTATTTTCTTTTATTTTATTATCATTTTAGTAAGGTGTTTAACTTGTACATTAATCTATATTTGTCTGTGATACAGGGCTGTGGATATTTGGGCTGTCGGGTGTCTGCTGTCAGAGATGTTGACTGGAGAACCACTTTTTCCTGGTGACTCTGACATTGACCAACTTTATCACATAATTCGATGCTTTGGTGAGTGTATGTCTCAGTACTTTGTTTTCTTTCCTTCTTGTCAGCTATACTTTTTTTTGTAATGGTTTAGGGCATCAGAGATATATGCGCTCATATGACCTTATGCAGTTGCGAGTGCAATAAAACTTTTACTCAAGGAGATTGTACATTTAATTTTTTGTTCAACGGATGCAATAAACTAAGAAAAGTGAAGTCTAATCGGTAACTTTCCCATTAACATCTAATGACAAAAAATGATTAATTTTATGGTTTTCTTCACTTCTTTGATGAATGTGTTAGTGTTTTTCTCTTTGTTTCAGGCAATTTAACTCCAAGGCACAAAGAGGTTTTCCAGCGTAACCCTTTGTTTGTGGGTATGCGACTTCCTGAAGTGAGAGATATAGTTGCTTTGGAAAAGAAGTTCACTCGAGTTTCTTCTGAATCTTTGAACCTTATGAAGGTAACAGAGTGGGCTGTTTCCATTACTGATTTCAGCATTTAGCTTTTTGTTCTGTTTTATTAGAGGTCTGTTATAAGATGTCAGTTCTGTAGACGCTTCCCTCGACCCTTTGTGCCTGGTCACCAACACCTCTCCCCCCCTTTTCCCTCCCGCCCCAAAAATCTATACCACCTCATGCTTAGGGACGCTGTAGTTGCTTAGAAGGATAAAGGTCGATCTCAGACATGCACAACTTGAGTTCAGACTTTTTAAACTGCAGATTTATTTTTCAAAGTTTTACTTTTGTGCTGAATTGTAATTTTTTTGTATCTTTTAGTATGACATTTTCAGAGTTCTAAACTTTCAAACATTTTTAAGTCTTTCTTATTTCATAAGCTATTAAGTTTTTAAAATTTAATATGTCATATTTTTCTTGTCAGCATGTGGAGCTTTGAAAGCTTTGTTTAACACCAACTGTTTAAACTTTCTGTGTATATTTTTGTAGAAAGTGATGTTGAGGTCGTTAAAAAAATACGTCCAAATTGTACAAGCTTCACTGTTGTCAGAAATGTTGCAGTTGGCACAGGAAGTTTTCCCTACAGCGTTTGTATTTTCCCCAAAACGTTTTGTTTCTTTTCACCTAACAATAGTGTCTGAGACTTGCAAAGTAAAGTTGTCTTAGACTCTTTTCCTCTACCCACCAGTGAACCTTTCGTAAATTAATACGATACAAATTTGAAAGGTGAATTATTTTTTATGATGTTACAATATGTATTTTGTTTTTTTCCAGCAATGTCTGCAGCTAGATCCTGACAAAAGACCGACGTGCTCAGACCTCTTAAAACATGATCTCTTCATGAAGGATGGCTTCGGTGCTCGTTTTGCTATTGAGCTGAGGCAGAAACTGCACCAAGAAAACTTAACAAACCCACTGTTGAAGTCACGGTCATCCACCAATAAGAAAGAAGATAAAGAGAAGGACACAAACAACAGTGAAAACATACAGCAAAATAACAATGACAGTGGAAAAGGAGGAACAATCAAGAATAAAAAGAAAGTTGATTCCAAGGATTCAAAAGATGTAAGTGCCTTGTTCATGGAAGTAGTGTATTTATGATTTATGCACTTCCACTCATCATCTTCATTTTTAGTGATGTTGCAATGTTAAAAAAAAAATTTAAAAATTATTTTTACCACACTTTTTGTCTGATGAAAAGCATGAGTGCTTTGTCCTCGTCTTTGACACTGTGTCATCCACATGCCATAATGGTCCCCTGCTTGTGATTGCTGTCTGATCATTGCTTTTTGCGGAGCATGCCCAAATGTTCACCAGGAAACAAAAGTTGGCCATTGACATGATCAGAGGCCTTGTGCTTAATCTGCAGGACCAGAGTTAAAGATGAAACAGATTTTCTATATTATTTACTTATTAGTACAATATTGATGGTTGGCAAGTAAACGAGCCAAATAGATGTTGTTACAGAGCTAATTATAGACAGAATGGTCACTTTTGTTTCCCTGAAGATGGAAAAGAGAAAGTTGGAAGTTGTTAAGTATACAAGTAATTTTTAGTTTGAAATCAACTGTAACTTCTGTATTTTCTCCCAAGCCATAAATTCCTTTAACTGATGGAATGAAAAGTCATAATTGAATGGTGTAAAGAAAAGTGTTTCTCTTAGTAGCACATGAACAAAAACATGAACTTGACATAAACATCGATAAACTAATATATATATATATACAGAAATCGAATTAAAAAGTTTTGATAAAAGTAAAAATCACAGCTTTTTAAAAACTTGTGGCATGATGAATGATTTGTATCAACAGGATTCTAGAAACAGTGACGAGAAAGTCAAGGTGAAGGCTTCAGAATCCGAGAACAACAACCGGTCAATGAAGTACTCACCCTCCAAATCAGTGTCCACAACTCCCCTTGGGAATTCCAACAGCCATTCCATCGTGCTTCCTCCTGCAGGCAATGGTACAGGCATTATGGGCAGTACAAATATCTCAGACAATAACTCACCGGTGGAGGATCCTCTCACAGGTGTTTGTTGTCATGTGGTGCGGTAGTCTCTGCCAAAATGTGGCTTGTGGTAAAGCACGCTTATCTCAGTAGCACCCTTTTGCAGCATGACAATCTTTTTTTTAAAAAGGTTTGCGTGTATGAAGGCACAGTTAGTTTTTTAGTTCACTTCATTCTGAGAACTTGACCTCAGCTATGTGGATATAGAGCGAAAACCAAACAGGTTTAGTTGCATGGGTGTAATGTCATATTACTTGAAGGTTGTCTTGACTGCCAAGGATTTGACTCTATTGATGAGTGCAAAAAAATGTACTTTCACCATCATTCTCTTGTCAATGTAGAAAAAATGATAAGGATTGCAATATCAAACTGATAGTACTCTGTGCATGAAAATCTGGAGGCAAACAGGAAGGATTTACATGAAACATGATGTGTCAAGTTCTGTAATTTCTCCACTTTTGAAAATTGAATACTCCGAAAAAAAGATGCAAAAGTGATGAGCTTGAAATACTTGAATGTGAACGAGCGGAAAAGGGATGGATGAATAGTTTGTCTTGATTTTGAAACTTACATTCCTGTTAGTGCATGCTTTGCATAAGAGTACACTTTGCATAGAAGCACTCAAATGATCCTCCCAGACTGCGTGCTTTTAGGCAGAGACTACTGTGTTTGGGTTTTGCATTTTTTGTTTGTGTTTAAATCTAACACCACAATAGACACTGAAAAAGTCATTTTATAAAGAGGAAGATTGGGCCTTTAACTGTACTCAGGGTTGAAAGGAAAATATCTGCAAAGGACAAACAAATTTCTGCCCCTGAACAGTTTGGACCTTGTTGGACTTGCTCATTTTGACCAAGTTTGTTGTAACCTCTCAATAGCTTGGTGGTGATTTGTACCCTCATACCAAGGCTATCTTGTTTTGTGTTTCAATTATTCTTAGAATGACAGAATGGCAATGGTGTCTATTAATTCTTGTGTTGTTTAGATGTACATGCATACACACATTTGCTTTTGTTGTAGTGGTAGTGCATATATGTTGTGCATGTTTTTAGACACATACACATGCTTTTGTGTATCTGTATGCACATGTTTGTAGTGATGTGCTTTTTTTGTCCTTGTTTGTTTTTGTGCATGCTTGTCTTTTTATTGTGTTTGTGTTCATCGTGTATGCACATATTTGTGAGTAAAGTCTGTCGTTTTTGTTCTAGTTGATATTATGATTTATAATACTAACAGAAGTCTTCTGCTTACAGGATATAAATCTTTAAATGTAATTCTCTGTTGCTTGACCAGACAGTAACAGACAATTTTACTAACTTGCCTCAGCACAACTGGAGCTTAGTTGCTAAGACATTGGACAGTAATGCAAGCAATTGGGGTTGAACTTTGTGAACCTGGGCTATTTGAAGAATTTTTTTGAGGACTCCCCACATTGTCCTTTCAAAGTTCTTACCTTTTATGAAGTTGGAAATTGTGTTATGTGATAATTGTCTTTAGTTTTCACAATTACCATCTACAGAATAGACCTTCTCCAGTGTCCCATTTCATTGCATTATTTTGTTGTTTTCTTGGTTACTCTTTATTCCATTGACAGATTCTTCTCTAATATAAGATAGAAACATTTTGAATTAGAAGTTCCAACACTTAAAATAGCTAATGCTATGTTAGAAAGGACTCTCCGTGCACCCTCACACTCAATTTTCTCTTTCTCAGATCGGGACAATAGAGACAGAGACAAAGATGTGAAGGAGTTTCTCTCCTCCCCTCAGCATCCAGTCACCAGTATTCCTCCTATCAACAATTCCCTCAATCTGCAAGCACGGTAAGACGGTACTCCTTTCTGTGCCTTTTGTTCATCAGTTTTTGCTTCATAAACGTTTGACTTGGTTAGAATTGCTTTGTTGTCTCTCAGTGATGTTAAGCTATTGACCCACTGCTTCAGTACAGCATGTGATTTGGTGCTCATCTTGTGATGGTTAGCTGTGCTATATGAGAAAGAAATACCAATTTTTCATAGGCTTGGAGATTTTTTTTCTGGTAAGAATATTTAGAGTAAACTTTTTGGAAGGGCTGTATACGATGCAGAAGAATCAAATATTATGAAAAGAACACAGTCACTTACTAGTCTTTTGGATTGGATTGACTTAACTTGCGTGTTGCAACTTTTGAAATGTGTTTCTCATGACAATTTTCTGAATTTGGCAGCACCTTTTAAGAATGTGTCACTGGTTTGGGTTTTTCTTTTGTTGGTGCTTAAAAATTTAACTTGAGGGGACATTATGGAGAACGTCTTAAAGGTCCGTAAGTGTAGAATTTACTTTTCGCTTTTCTCAGAACTCTAAGATCTTGACATACCTTGTTATTTCAGAGTTCCTTTGGTGCTAAACTTTGTGAGGTGAATTATTTCTGTTCCATCCCATATATCTTTATATACTTTTATAAACATTATATGTTTTTAATAGTGTATGGAGAACTTAATGTTTGCCTAATATAGCAAATAACATGGGTGGTGAAAAAGTGATGGATTTCAGGAAATTTGTGGTAACCCTCAGCACTTCTTGCAGATAACGAAAAATATACTGGTAAATTCTGATGTTCACACAAGACTACTTCTTTTTTGTGCACCCTGGATGTTATATTGTTAAAAAAATTGACAAATTATTCTTGCATAAATTCTACTCTCCTAGTTGCGGTCTCAGTGAATTGCCAGCTTTTGGGTTGCAAAATGCACACATAATAGACATATATAGTAATATCTAAAGTGGAGGAACACTTTTTATAGCAACCTCTGAACAAAGAACTGCATGCAGTGAATCATCATAACATTTAAACATCTTACCACGATAGAGGTTCTTCTACTGTACAATGATACCAAGATGGAACATCTGTTACAACACCCTGCTTTTTTAACAATAGAATATTTCTTTGTCTGATGACACTGACTACATTATTTTTGTTAAGAAATATCTCAGCAATTTTTTTTTCTTTAACCGTTAAAGGGGCATACTGTAAAAGCTGATGTTTTTTTTTATCTGACACTAAGAATAGGGGTTGCTCTCTGCTCTCTATCTATATAAGAGATATCTGCTACTTCTGTGTTGTACAGTTAAATAATAGAAATAAACATACTGACTTCATTTCTTTTTCTCTTTTAGAGGATCTTAGAATGATGTAGATCTCTGAAAACATAGTCTCATCTTCTCATTTTTATACATTAAGCTTTTCATCTCTATACATAGATTTTGTGTGAACAGGGATTTATTTGTTCTTGAGGTCACACTGTCTTACCTGTGCTTCTTCATGTAATTCATGAAAGTGTGTGTTTCATATAGACTTTTTAAAACTGTTTTTCCTTAGCATGTCCCTGCCCCTGATTTAAACTTTAGTAAGTTTCACATTCTGATGTCTTTAAAAGAGGCCTATAAATATTTTTTTTACTTAATTAAAAAAACTGGACTCACTGTTGTTTGGGGTGAACACAAACACCATAGGCTTTCGTTAATGTTGTGGTTTTGTTAATCTTGCAGCCCCATCCTGCATGCTTTATATGTTAGTGTTCTTGACCCTTGGTCTTTTTATTTGACCTGGCTTTTTATTTAATAAAAAGTCTTAAGGGCTTGTATTGTCTTCCTGATTGTCACCAGATCCTAAAGATTGCTTCTGACCCTTAGGTGTCTTTTGGGAAATATGCATCGTCTATTTTGACCCTTTTGGCCTTAAATGGCATCCCTTTGTGCTTTATGTCAGAGTATATTTGTTTCTTTGTTTTTCTTCTGTTATTCCTGATGAATTTTCTGATCAATGGTTACTTGTTTCTGTGCCAAATCAGCTTATGGGCAAATTGAAGGTTCTGTTCACAGGCATGTAAGCAAGCAATGTTCTCTTACCTTTTATGTTGATAAGGTGGGAGGCAGTTTATATTATTGAGTCATTCGCTTGACTTGTTTTGTAAATTTTTCCACAGCAGGCGTCTTATTTACAGCTTTCCCTGAGGAGACCAAACATGTATCTATGATCAGATTAATCAACTTTTCTAATACACATTGTATTCAGACTAGATAGAAAAGACAGAGATGTTTTTAGTCTTCATCAAAGAAATTTATACATTATTCAATCAATTTTTGAAGAAGAGGATGTTCATTGGTTCAGTAGGAACTTCGAAAAGACTTACCAGAATTTAAAGAATTTTTTGGTCTTTACAAGTGAAAGAAAGACTGAATGGCTCTGAAACTCTGTCTGGCTTGAGTTTTTCAATCGAAGATTTTATTTTAACTGCATGCATCATAGTTATTGCGAACTGCTTTTTCTGACAATTTCCAAAATCTTCCACTGTTCGGTTGAGATGATTAGATCAGATATTTTTTGTGATGACTCACAAACTACTCTGTCTTTGTAACATTCTCTCTCCCAGGCTAGAAGTCATAAGTAAAATTAGTACACCAATTTACATACTTTTGGTGATAGGATTAAAATACTCTCTAATCGTTTTTAGATGCATTTCTGTTTCTCCTGGGCGGAGCAGACCACACATTTTTACAGCTGAACAACAACACACATTCTTGTAGGGTTGATCTATCATTGCGGATATGGATGATGTTCTTGAACTCTTTATCAGCATTTGTTTTTACTCCTCTTCAGATTTTGGATTGGTTTTTGATTAATTAGAGCACAGTTTGTTCTTGAACATAAAGATTTTGTGTAACAACCATGGTTGAAAGTATCGCCGCATTCATCATTGAATAACAGTGACGAAATACTTTTGGATATTTGGAAAAATCCTCCAAATCTCAAAACATATATATGTACATTACAAAAACACTTTCAAAGTCTTTCATATCTCATGTAAACTGGTGCTACATTAAATATTTTATATATTCCATGTGCCGACATATTCTCTTATAGTAGGTTTCATGTTTTGAGTAGTGTTATTGTTGTTGCCAGTTCCATATTCTCCAGTATCTTGTCTGTCTCTCATCATTTTAACACTTTTCTGTTTAAAGTTTAAGAAACAGCCAAGTTCATATGCCTGCTACTTTTTTTTGTATTATGTTTCTTAAGTGACTGATGTTTGAGAGTGTGTTTGAAATTGAAATCAGGGACATGTTTACTGTGACTGTGAACCTCAATAATAAATGATTGAATAGATCCTGCCTGACCCAGCAGCTGCTTGTTGAAGGAATACGTCTAGAGTAGGGTACAGTATAGAGCTAGGTGGGGAGATACTGCCACACACAGGAAAAATGGTGTGAGAGTACCGGTAATTCAGAAATTGCTCAAACTACAGAGTTGTGAGTGTTCTGGTGAGAATGGTGAGGAAAATGCAGGGAGATGTGCACTGGTTTGTGTGTGATGGATATTTTATCAGTGACCTCCACCTTGAAGGATTAGCAATCTTTTGTCTAATTCCTTCCAGCCCCGCAATGGCAAGGCTGAAAAGTGAAGATAAGTGGTCACCTCGTAACCCACTTGTCAACGGAAACCGAACTTCTTCTTTCAGGTAAAACTAAAAGGCTGAAAAAAAAATGTTAAGCTGTGAGCTAAACCCTTGTCTTACCCTTCCCGAGAATAATACACTATATCACGTTGTCACAATAGCTATATAACTGCATCTAATGGAAGTGGTACCTTTTGAACACAGTAGCCCTATGAAGACAATCACTCACAAAATAATTTTGGAATGGATGTGCTTATTAATATATGATACAGTGATTTGGCTTTTTTTATTTTAAATATAGCCGCCATCACATTGCTTTTAGTTGAGGTTGTTTGGCAATAAAATATTACAGAGCTTTCAGTTTCAATCACTTTGTACCCCCGTCCAAAGTGTGTTGTTACGGTAGATTGCATGGCTTGTAAATGGGATCACTTTCTACAGCATGCTATCTTGAAGCAATTCATTTTCACAGATTTGCTATATTATTGATAAGTGCTGGATTTGAAGTCAGATTCTGACAATGTTCGTGAGCATGTGCTAATTGAAAATATTATTCTAAATCAGGGGGGTCTTATTTTCATAAAGGAAAATACCCTAATTCAACCAATGTTTTATAGAAATAAAAATAACGATAATAATTCTAATGATAGTAATGACAACAATAAATATAACAGTGACGATCATAGTGATATGGTTATAGTAATGATAATTGTAATAACAAAAGGAATAATAGTCATAATAATGGTAAAGTATTTTTGTTATATATAGTGTTTGTGCCAGTTTATCTCAAAGTGATAAACAATGTTGATGACTGGAATACAACATGTACTATTTAGTACACTATCCAAAAATATTTCTACATACTATCTTCCCCCCCCCC